ATCAAGATCTTACATAGAATTGAATCTTTTCTTGAGTGTTTTATTCTCTTTTCCATTCTTTGACAAAGGTATGATGGAAGAACAGTGGGGTGTGTGTCAATCTTTATAAATATAAGGGACAGGGTCAGTATATTTACTGCTAATAGCCCAATTTCAAAATAACTTCAGATTATTTTAGTGTTACTGTACAATTCATTTAATTTAAATCTCTAAAGTATTCTTAGTTGTTGTTATATGGCCCTTTTAACATGACCCAAGGCATACTAGAGCAAAACGCGTGTTGTAAGTAGGACCATTGTAATCTCTAGGATTTTCATTTGCTGAATTTCAGAATTAGATCATCCATTCTGTCCTCTCAGTCTGTCTTAATCTGGAACACTAGACGCAGTTACGCATCATGAGAACACACAGCTCTCCACTGACACAGAGGTGGACCTGCCTCCTGTATGCTGTAGTGCTCTCTTGTAGAGGAGAGGCAAGAATTCTACCACCAATGTCACACTTAGAATCTGCTTATCCATCATCTTTGTAAAGATTTCTATTTTATTTTTCCTGTTTACTTATGACCTAACTTGTTTAAGTTTGTACTACACACATACACACACACACACACACAATTCACAGTCATTGAACTAGTTCAGACTCAGTGACTTTATTTAGTTTCCTGAGCTTGGTGAATCATTATCAACGCAGGAAGCCTCTTTCAGACAAACATAACTGACTGAAAATTCATTCTATACTGTCTTGTTTGCTCTCTCGGTAAATTACTTGCATGAATATGGTAAAATGGAGATCTCCAATTCTGTTGGTTCTCAAAGTAAATGTGTTTATATTGTTTAAATATTTTAGTCCTCAAGTTTAGAAAAACAATACTGCTCACAGAATTCATGGTGGCTCAAAAAATTTTAAGGGAATTTCAAAGAAAAACTAACTTTTTTTCCTTTATCATATATCACCAGCAAGTTTGCATTTTACAGCCAATTTTAGCTGCTGTCCACTGGTGCTCCTCTTGACTGAGGGCTATAAACTTTAATAGAGTCTTGGAAACATCGCTCATATTCTGACAATGAAGGCCAAGGTGAGACTTTGCAAAGGCAGACAGCATAAATACAAAAAGACACTCCTCTTATGCTTGTGTGAACAGACAACCAGAAACACAGATGATAGATAGATAGATAGATAGATAGATAGATAGATAGATAGATAGATAGATAGATGAGTTTGGAATTGAATCTGTCAAAAATGTGGAACTAGCAATGGTAGATTTCATGCTTAGGAGTTGTTTGGGAAATGCTTAAATATCAGTAGGATCCTATCCTAAGAAAAAACAGTTTTTTATTTCATTTCAAAGGTAATAGCTTTTTATGTCTCCAGGCTGAGAGGTGAATCCACAATAGTTCTTGAACACAGGAAAATCGATATGGACTCATTACTGTGAAAGCAAGAGAAAAAAAACACTTGGTAGTTGTGAGGTTTATAACCCTCCCCTAAATACTTGAGATACAATGGGCTGGGGCTAGGGATCGGCATAGGCTTTTGTCTTTTTGTCTTTAAATATTGCCAATATTACTAGATGCAGATTGAAAAGTCTTCACTACACATTAAAAGCATATTACCTACCACTAATGATAGGTAGAGTTTTAGAATTACCTTTGTTTCATTTAATTACAAATTGTAAGATTTTTATGTATGAAAAATATGCAGCAATAATGCTAAATTCCACTCATGAAATTATGGAAATGTATTTTTCAAATGATCATCAGCCATAACGATAAATCCATAGTCCTAAATGTTATCTACTATTACTTTTGTTTAATTTCCTCTCCATTGTGGGTATTTAAAATTATGTCAACGTCAGAATTTCACTTGAAATGCCAAGCCTTTAGAAATGTATTTACTCTCATTTAGGTTACTAGTGTTGACTATTTTTTTCATTCTTCAACCCTTTGTGTTTCAATGTAATAGATGTAGTCTGCTTTGCAGAACATAGTTGCAATACAATTCTGTCAAATGGAATAACTATTGAATGGGGATGAAAAGATGGAATAACTATTGCATGGGGACTAAAAGATGGAATAACTATTGCATGGGGACTAAAAGATGGAATAACTATTGAATGGGGACTAAACAATGACCAAATGAGCCCTGGTGGCTTAGCTGTTGGGCTGATAACCGCAAGCTCTGTGATCCCAAACCCCTGGCTGCTCTGCCTAGAACGTGGAGGCAGCTGCTCCCATAATAACGTACAGTCTTGGAAACACTATGAAGCAGTTCTACTCTGTCTTAGAGAATGACTCGGAATTAGAACTGACTTGACAGCTGCGGGAAAATATGGCCAGAAAAAGGAATTAAGTGGAGTGATTGTGACAAAAAGTCTATGACTCTATTGAAGAATGAATACAATGTAAAGAAAAATATTTACATGAAAGTTACAATGTATGTGGATGAAGTACCCAAAACGCTGTTAAAAAATTACAATGTACATGCATGTACACATTCTTTCCATTTCTAAAGCAGAAGTAAGCAACTCCCATGATTCAATTACCCTTTAAAATAATTCTGTTAGGTAAAGAAATTTTCAAATAAGTAATTTCAGACTATTTCTGAATTTATCCCAGTACTAGCTGCAATGCTATTATCCCAATTAATAAAGCAATTACTTATAATTTCATGCATTTTTATGTTTAAAAAAATGTCTTTGGCAATGTTATCAGTTTGCTTGAATTAGACTACCAGTAAGTTTTACTCGCTGTATTTCTTCATATGTTAAATCGCCTTTAACTTAGAAAGCTTATTTATTTTAATTGTTTCATTGTGTGGTTGAAACTTTAGCTTGTTTTCCTGTAGAATGTTCTGTATCCAGGCTTGCAGTCCTTACTTCATTATAGTCTTCTACAATGCACTCATATTTTATCTTTATATATATATATTTAAGAAATATTCATAGAATGTTCAAGCTATTTATAGAAGATTATTTTAAGGGCATATATTAGTTATGTCTTTATATATTTACCTTACATTTTTAACCTACATTCTGATGTGATAATAGCATCCCTGGTGCCATAGTGGTTATGCATGGAGCTAAACACAAGGCCACCTGTTTGAAACCTGCAGCTGCTCCACAGGAGAAAGATGGGGCTTTCTACTCCCATAAAGAGTTACAGTCTTGTAAACTGACAGAAATGGCTCTACTTTGCCCCATATGAGTTGGCATCCACTCAATGGCAGTGAATGAGAACCAGTCTACGCTGTAAGGTTTTGCAGGCATTCAATCAGTTTCTCATTTTGCACATCTCATCTCATTCCCACCAACCCTATAACAATGCTATGCAAATTAATATAACATTTTCTGCAATAATAATAATATTTACTGTGAGTTATTAATTCATTAGGATACTCCTAACCATTTCTTTGGTAACAGCTTTCTTTATATTATAGTGTTTGTTTTATTGTTCTTGTTATTCCTTTGGGTGTGTATGTTGTTTGTTTGTTTTTCTTTTTAACTTGTTTAAGTAATTTTGTGAACTCTTCAAATGGTAAAAACAAACAAAAGAATTAAAGTAGTGTGTTAGCCTGGATTCTCGAGAGAAATAAAACCACAAGAAAGCGGCTAACATAGTAGTAGAAGTATTGAGCCCGGTCTGGTTACATCCAAGGATCAGATGTGGACGCTGGAGACTTTTCCTGACTTGCCCCTGAGGCTGATGAAGCAGGAAGCAGGAAGACAATTAGCTGGTGGAAGCCAAGGTGAATGAATCCAAAGTCAGCAAGTCAGGCTCTTCCTGACTTGAGTAGCTTCCCAGGACTGACGAACCTGGAAGCAGGCAGCAGGTCCAGTTCCTGGCTGCGGAGTCAAAGGAACTCAGAGTTGCCAGGGAATATGGCGGACTGCGGACAGCGCCCACGGTCAGCAGGTTACACGGCAAGATTATGACCCAGATGTAGGATGCAAGCAAACAGGAAGAGAGCTAGCTTCTTCATTGTCCCCTTTATGAATGAGTGGGCCGCAACCCCAAAGAAACTTCTTTCCAATTGCACCACTTCTGTGACTTGTTTAAGGGGATAGTGTTCCAACCCAATCTTCCTACACCAGGTTGGCTGCTCACAATAGAGTCCATCAAGGAAGGGATTAAATCATTTGAAATCAAATCATGGAGGACCATATGTGGATGTGTACGGAGGTTTACTCTTGAATTCTTATTAGCTTTTTCTAGTGTTGTCTGAACCTGCGATTTCAGATTAAATGGAATGGTTTAATTACTCATTCGTAACTAAAATAAAGTACTGTCTCCAAAACATTCACTAAATTCCTTCCATCCAAAATATAAATTATCCATTTGCAATATATAGTGATTATCCTTTTGAAAAACGAAATGCTAATTTTTGATAAATTAAATCTTTGTAGCATGTGATCCCTCACTTAAGTCACTTGCTTCCCCAATCTTTCGTGAGCAAATGATGTTAACATAGTTTCCTTCAGGTTGTAATTATTTTCTCAATCTTCATAGGCTTTTTATTATAATACTAAATAGACTCACTATGAATCAGAATCCACTCAATAGCAGTGAGTTTGATTTCTTTGGTCTGGTAAACTCAAACCAACTCTGAGTCAAAGCCATCCAGGAACTGATCAAAAATGTATTAGTAATCACCTTCCCCACCTCATACATATTTATTCTAGCCACATTATACACATCTTCCTCCTTTTAAGCTCATTATGTATATATAAACTTTAATTATTTTGGCACTCATCTCTTGTTTGTAGCAAATTAAGGCTTATCTCTCAGACATGGTTTAAAGAAGACTTGAGTTATGGAGTATTCTCGCATTTCTAAGAATCTAGGTATGTTTTTAGTGTACCTAAAAACATTATAGATATTAGCCTAAACACATGATGAAATGACTGACCCTTAAAAAAAACTTAAGTCTTTTTTGTTACATGTACAATGGAAATCAAAAGTGATTGGAATATTTTATGTGCTATTGTCTTTGTATTATAGATATGATCCCAAAACAGATACGTGGACCATGGTAGCTCCTTTGAGTATGCCAAGAGACGCAGTTGGGGTCTGTCTCCTTGGTGACAGATTATATGCTGTTGGTGGCTATGATGGGCAGACCTATCTCAACACAATGGAATCCTATGATCCACAAACTAATGAGTGGACACAGGTAATTACTGTCTTCAGTATGATTTACTTTCTTTTGGCGAGGTAGAGAGCAGACTACATAGAAATCATTAATTTATCTGAAACAAAAATGACTGATTTACCCAATGGAGTATCCATTTAGTAAAACAAATAAATAACTAGCACAAAACAGAAATACCTGTTGTGTGTAGCAATTATACCTTGATTGCCATTGACTGCATAGATCTCCTCTTAGAAACTTGTTCTTGCATTTCATTTCTTGTAATTTCCACCTCTCTAATTATTTCAATCCCCAATTCTCTCAGAAATCTAAAAGAAAATAAGTGCAGTAAAATCCCAAACTTTATCTAGTTGTGCAGAATAACAACTACCTCTCATATTTCTCAGTGGGCTCATTTTTTTGATCACAGGCATTGATTGAAATCTATACAAAGAACTAAAACATTGAGAGAGGTAAATTTATTGTGTAGTTGATAACTTGCTTGGAAGTAATGGATCTTCTGCACAACTTTTCTTGACTGTGCAGGTTTGAGTGGTGTGTGTGCAATTGTAATGTTCAGATATGCTGACTTTGGAGTACCTAGTCAGATTCCTAATGGTCCGACTAAATTCCCGGAATTAGGAGTTATATTCTTCCCTAAAGGACTGGTCTTTAAACTCAGTGTAGAATCATATATTTGTCTACAAAAGAAGAGAATGGGAGAAAATAGAAAAAAAGGAGTGTTTAAAGAAATAAATCCAATACTTTTCTATTTTACTATTATTGTGAAAGAAGTGTTTCATAGAGAAAGGGAAGAAAATATTAAAACAAACTAATAATAATTGTTCTTCATAACTGCCTCAAAATCTTAGAAGATAATTCTTAACTTATTACTTTTCTGATTTCCTTGATATTCTGTAGGGTGCAATACAAGGATTGTGTATTGATTTGCTAGAAAATTGCGGCCCCTAAATGGCATATATTTTAAATGTGCCAGTTATGCAAATGAAAATTAAATAAATGAAGTTTATAGGCATATAACACCTTCATTACATATTTATAATAACTAACCAGTAAACATATTATTTCTTTAAAATTGAAATCAAAATAATGTATGTAGTAAAAAAAGATAAAAGCCTCCGAAAAGTCACTTCCCTTATTTGCATTTTATTATATTTTGTATCATACAGTATTATAAAAACATAAAAGTGGTATTTTAAATGTTTACAAGTTTATTTTAGTAGCATAAACATTATTTTTTAAACGCTAAAATTATTTTATGGTTTTACACTTTTATCCTTTTGCTATTTATATTTTTTAAGACACTTGAGGGACCACTAACTGACTCACACTAAATCCCTTTGAAAATTCTTAAGATACAGCTCACAAGACAGAATTTCCTTATTTGTTAGGTAATTCCTGTCATATTTTCCTGGAGGACTATTGAAGTTTGTGCTTCAAGATATAGAAAGGCAAACTATCTTATTTTCCTTTGTATTTCTGTGTGCCATCTAGTCAGTGTTGACTTACAGGACCCTGTATGACTGAGCAGAAGAGCTCCGTGTGGTTTCCCAAGGCTGCTATCATTGTGGAAATAGATCTCCAGATTGTTTACTCCCAGGAAGTGATAATGGGTTCAAATAATCTTTCAATTAGTCATTGAGTGATTTCACCATTGTGACACTGCAAAACAAAACCAAGTCCACAGCTATGGACTTGATTCCCACTCAGAGTGACCTAGAAATCCCAAAGGGTATGATTGGATTTGAACAACTAGCAATGTGATTTTCAGTCGAATGATTACTTAACAGCACCACCATGGATCCTTAATCTGGTTTAAATGACTCTTTTATGGGTTTTAATAATATGTTGTCATAGTACTACCATAGTGCACCCATCTACAGGCCATATGGAAACAAAACCTGTATTTCTTTTACAGTCATGTCCACAAAGTTGGATGTGATCTTTGGCATAGAGTAGGAGATACAAGATCACTTCTCAAATAAATAAACGGAGAATTGTTATTGTAAATACTTTTACTTTAGTTTTGCCTGAGTTTATTTTCCCACAATGCATACCATATATACTCCAGTATTAGCTGACCTGAATATCAGCCGAGGCACCTAATTTTACCAAAAAATAATGGTGGGACAAGAAGAAAGTAAAAGGGAATAGAGGAAAGAACCAGAAGGCAAAGGGCATTTATAGAGGTCTAAATACAGGCATGTACGTATGTAAATATATGTAACAAGAGGGGAATAGAACTATGTACTCATTTATATGTTGAGAATTAAAGTTGCAGATGGACATTGACTCAAGAACTCCCTCAAACCGAGAACACTTTATTCTAACAATCTGGCCTTCTGTGATGCTCACCTTTCCGACAGGATCCCTAAAAACAAAATGGATGCATAAGCAACTGTGGTGAAGAAAGCTGATGGTGCCCAACTAGCAAAAGAAATAACATCCACACATCTAGCTCAGAAACAACAAAGTCCACATGGAATAAGCACACCAGCCTGTGTGATCATGAGGTGTTGATGGGATCAGGTGTCATGCATCTAAGACCCAGAACAAAATCATATCCAATGTGAATGGGGTAGGGAGGGGGCATGGAGTGGGGACCCAATGCCCATCTGTAGACAGTTGGACATCCCCTCCCAGAGGGGTCACAGGGAAGAGATGAGCAAGCCAGGGTGCAGAATAGCACCAATGAAATAACAACTGTCCTCTAGTTCTTTGGTGCTCCCTTCCTCCCACTATCATGACCACAATTCTACCTTACAAATCGGATTAGACCAGAACATGCACACTGCTACAGATAAGAGCCAGCAACACAGGAAATCCAGGATAGATAAAGCTCTCAGGGCCAACAATGAGAGTAGAGATACCAGGAGAATTAGGGGAGGGTGGGGCAGAAAGGGGGAATTGATCACAAGCATCAACCTATATCCCCCTCCCAGGGGGAGGAACAATGGAAAAGTGGGTGAGGGACAAAGGAGGATGATATAAGATATGGAAATAATAATCCATAACTTATCAAGGGTTGCTGAGAGTGGGTGGGTGGGAAATAGAGGGGGAAGAATTTGGGAGCTGATATCAAGGGCTCAAGTGGGAAAAGAATGCTTTGAAAATGATGTTGGTGGCATATGTGCAATTGTGCTTGACACACTAGATGAATGTATGGATTGTGTAAGAGAAGTTAAAAGCCCCCAATGTAAGTATTTTAAAAAACAAAAACCTCAATAGGAAAAAAAAAGTGCTGAAAAACCCGGCTTACACATGAGTATATACGCTATATAGTTTAGTTGATGCTGAGCTCTGAATATTCGCTTTATGATTAATTTATAAAAATGTGGATAATTCTCCATATTGAATGATCATCAAAAAGTATCTTGGAAACTTCTTAAAACTACTGCTAACCAATTCTAATCCATAGTTCTATTGGGTTTGAGTGGTTTAGATTTGAGCATGTCTCTGTGGATGGCTCTGCAGTCAAGCTGTGTTAGAAAACTATGATATAATAAACGAGAGACAGTAGAAAACACATGCAGTTTAGTGTTACATAGCTTGGGTTTGTATATGCTGAAGCACTGAGGTTTACTCTTGTTTCTAGAAAAAAACATGCACATACCTGTTAATAGGAGATAGTAAGGCAGGGGTAAGTAGAAAACACTGCTATAAAACCATAGCCATCTTTACTAACAAAAATATCAAAATGTGAAGCTATTTTTTATGATATCACTTTACATCTAGGTCTATACCTCTGAAAATAGTATTTCTGTCTCTCTATCTCTTATGCATTGGTTTGCTAACCAGTCTGTCAGCAGTTCTAAATCACCAGCTGCTTTATCCTCAGGATAAAGAACATAATTTCTACCTCGGTGAAAAGTTTCAATTTTTGAAACACACAGGTGCAATTTTGCCCTTTCCTAACAGGTCCTTATGACTCGAAATCAACTCAATGACAAGAAGTGTGGTTTGGGTAATCCCTTCAAAACAGATGTGATGGTAATGGATACTGGTAGTGGTGAGTGGGGAGGTTGCTTCTCCAAAGAACTGTGAGCTTTTTGATTTACAGAGTGTTAAAAGTAGCAGTTTTTACATCTTCAAGGGACCTAAATCATGTCTTTTGGAAATGTTCTTTGAGTTTAAAAAA